GACCGGGGGCGGTGGGAGGACGTGGGTGACAGGGGGGTGACAGGGGGTGACAGGAGGTTGTGGGGGTGACCAGGGTGACCAGGGGGTGACAGTGGGTGACAGGAGGGGCTGAGGGTGACAAGGAGGTGGCAGAGGCTGGCAGGGAGGTGACAGGGGGGTGACAGAGGTGGCCGTGGGTGACAGAGGTGGCCGTGGGTGACTGGGGGGCGGTGGGAGGACATGTGGGTGACAGGGAGGTGACAGAGGTGACAGGAGGTTGTGGGGGTGACCGGGGTGGCAGGGGGGTGACAGAAGTGGCCGTGGGTGACCGGGGGCGGTGGGAGGACATGTGGGTGACAGGGGAGGTGACAGGGGGTGTGACAGCGGTGCCGGGGGGTGTGTGGGGGGTGAGGCCGATGGGTGACAAGAGGTGACAGGTCCGGGGCGGTGCCGCGGGCGGTGCCACCCGGGGCAGAGTCCGGTCCCGCTGCCGTGGCCAAAGTCCGGCCGGGAGGGAGGTGGCCGCGGTCACCCGGGCTGGGGGTGGGGATGTCCCTTGTCCCGGTTGTCCCCGTGTCCCCAAGGTCCCCAAGGATCCCGTTCCCAGTGTTCCCGAGGTCCCCGTGACCCTCCTGGGGGGTCCCCATGTCCCGCTTGTCCCCCAGGTCCCCATTGATTGTCCCCAAGGTCCCCAGGGATCCCGTTCCTGGTGTTCCCAAGGTCCCCGAGGTCCCCAGGGATCCCATTCCCGGTGTTCCTGAGGTCCCCAAGGTCCCCAAGGATCCCATTCCCGGTGTTCCCGAGGTCCCCGTGACCCTCCTGGGGGTTCCCATGTCCCGGTTGTCCCCCGGGTCCCCATTGATTGTCCCGTGTCCCCAAGGTCCCCAGGGATCCCGTTCCCGGTGTTCCCAAGGTCCCCGTGACCCTCTTGTGGTCCCCATGTCCCGGTTGTCCCCAGGGTCCTCATTGATTGTCCCGTGTCCCCAAGGTCCCCAGGGGTCCCGTTCCCGGTGTTCCCGAGGTCCCCGTGACCCTCCTGGGGTCCCCATGTCCCGGTTGTTTCCAGGGTCCCCATTGATTGTCCCCAAGGTCCCCAGGGGTCCCATTCCCGGTGTTCCCGAGGTCCCCGAGGTCCCCAAGGTCCCCAGGGATCCCGTTCCCGGTGTTCCCAAGGTCCCCGAGGTCCCCAGGGATCCCATTCCCGGTGTTCCCAAGGTCCCCAAGGTCCCCAGGGGTCCCATTCCCGGTGTTCCCAAGGTCCCCGTGTCCCTCCTGGTGGGTCCCCATGTCCCGGTTGTCCCCATTGATTGTCCCGTGTCCCCAAGGTCCCCAGGGATCCCATTCCTGGTGTTCCCAAGGTCCCCGTATCCCTCCTGGGGGGTCCCCATGTCCCGCTTGTCCCCAGGGTCCCCATTGCTTGTCCCGTTCCCGGTTTTCCCAAGGTCCCCAAGGTCCCCAGGGATCCCATTCCCGGTGTTCCCGAGGTCCCCCTGACCCTCGGGGGATCCCCATGTCCCGGTTGTCCCCACTGATTGTCCCGTGTCCCCATGTCCCCGCCGCTCCCACTGTCGCCGTGTCCCGACCCCTCCCAGGGCAGGGGACACGCGGGTCCCTCCCCCGGCGGTGCCACCCCTGTCACCGCGGGGCTGGCCCTGGGCGGGGACGGACAGGTCATGACCCCTGTCACTGTCCCCACCCCTTGTCCCTGTCCCTGACCATGTTCCCTGTCCCTGTCCCTTGTCCCTGTCCCCATGTCCCTGTCCCCATGTCCCTGTCCCTGATCCTTGTCCCTGTCCCTGACCCTTGTCTCTGTCCCTGACCCTGTTCCCTGTCCCTGTCCCCATCCCCATCCTTGTCCCTGACCTTGTCCCCTTCCCTGACCCTGTCCTTGTTCTTGTCCCTGTCCCCATCCCCTCCTTGTCCCTGTCCCACTACCTGTCCCTGTCCCTGTCCCCATCCTTGTCCCTGCTCTTGTCCCCGTCCCTGTCCCTGATGTGCCTGTCCCCATCCCTGTCCATGTCCCCCTCCCTGCTGTCCTCATCCCTGTCCTTGTCCCATCCTGCTGTCCTCATCCCTGTCCCCATCCCATCCCTGTCCTTGTCCCATCCTGCTGTCCTCATCCCTGTCCCC